AAATACACTAATTTTTCAAAGTTGCATAATTTTTTTTAGACATGCACAAATTTCTCGAAAATTGAAGGAACATATTTTTTGAAAAGTGAAGTCATTTTCGCAAAAGTACATTAACATTTTCTGAAATGATGTGAGCATCTTTTCCTGCTTGAAAAATATCACTATTTAATTTATACTATGAATATTTTTGGAATACGCGATAAAATCTCTTTGAATATACGATGACATTTTTTTAATACGTGGCAATTTTTTTAAATAAGGTTAACAGTTTTTTTTCCGATGCAATGAATATGTCTTAATTCACTAGGGACATTTTATTAATACACAATGATCATTTTTTATCAAATTAGTAAAATATAAATGATTTTACCAAATATATGTTTTCAAGTCATTTAAAGATATATCTGAATCCCGCATAGAACATGGAAATAAATCCCTTTTTTTTTAAAGAAGGAAGACCACTAGCCTCTGCATTGCATGATGCACACGACCATTTTATTGCACAAATTACCAGGTTCAAACCAAGGTCTCAAACAAATCGACGAAAAGCTTAAGAAAATATATCTGAAAACTAGAGAACAAAAGAAAAGTAAAACCGTACTTACGTTGCACCAAACTAACGATCAGACGCGGGGCGCTTTAGTTTGTTTATCATCAAAATCCAGGTCGTGGGAGAAGAAAATCTGTAAGAAGTGGCTCGGGCCCAACATGCAGCCATGTATAAGGCGAGTTTCTTTCTGGCTACAGGCAATACGCGAGAGCTAGATATCATCCATCGCAAGTAGTATTAGAGCATGTATAATGGTTCTATCTTAGCAGTGTCATGTAGGATAAATCCTAGGGTGAAGGACAGAGAAATCAGAAAAAACTAATTGTCTTCTCTTAATTAAGAGATAATCCTTTAGCATAGTATATGTTAGAACATATTTAAGGATATCTGGTAACTCGAAATTATATTAAGGTATAACCCATTGTACACCACTTTTCATTGTCATCTCTAGATTACGTGCCAGACTTACAATAAGATTGTCTTAGCAACCACTACAAAAGCCCTTAGACCTCGCCTATTGCACACTGCTACAGGTGTCGACCCAATATTGTAGCTGCATGAGCTTTTTTGTCGGGGTTTTCACTATTTTGCATCTTTTTTCTTTGCATATTTTGTTTGCTCTAGTTTTCTTTAGTTTTTCTTTTTATTATTTATTATTTCTCTTCAACTTTGTTTATTTCCTTTTTCGGTTTTCAAGTATCCTTCAGTTTTTTTTCTTTTTTTTCTTTCTTCAACACATGTCTATTTTTTTTCATACACATTGTTATTTTCTGAATACATGAGAAATATTTTTAATACATGTTTAACATTTTTGTAAAAAAGCATGTTTAACTTCTTTTAATATAGTTTTTGATGTCAACTATTTTTCAAATACATCGTACATTTTTCTTATACATCTCAAACATGTTTTATATTTACTTAGCATTTTGGAATATATGATTAACCTTTTTTGAAATACGTGATTTGAATATATTTATTTTTATTGCATGTTAACCATTTTTCAAATTTACCTTGGAATTTTTATTTGAAAGATTCGAGACATTTTTTAAAAACTATTCGTTGTACAATAATTTTTGAAATGTTGCACACATTTTTTAAAATGTAAAACCATAATTTTTAAAATTCACTTATTGTTTGGAATGCGTAATTATTTTTTGAAATATCAAGCATATTATTTTGAACGGTATGAATTTTTTGTAAAAGTTGAGCGAACTTTTTTACACCTCATGATCCGTTTCAATACTTGCAATGAACACTTTGGGAAAATATATTTTTTCTCAATATATGTATCTAGCATTTTTTTAAACATAAACAAAAGAGAAAAAGCAAAAAAAAAAAGTGTGTGATATGAGTGTGGCGAAATCACATGGTGACTGAGCTCGCGGCCGAGCTCGGCTTTCGCCTCGTTAAAGACGTGACATATATTTGCCCCACAAAGCGTTAGACTTGGCTCAGGCCAATTATTGAAGCCAACATAAACTTGGTTTCACGTTTTGATGTGAATGTTCTGGCCTTCTAGGTATGATTTCTCCTTACCCCTAAAAAAATATGATTCTCCTGTATTGGGAAGGTTCTGAAGATTCTTGTCTAGTGTTTCGCTTTCCTTTCTGTCGTTTTCTCTATCTGCTTTTTTTAAGTTTTATTTCTTCCATTTTTTTAAATATGTTGTAGATTTTGAGAAATATTCAGAAAATTTTATAGTATTTTATAGTTTTTTAAATAATTGAATATATTTTTTCTGAAAACATGTTTATATTTATGTTCACATTTATAAAAATCACCAAGTTTTAAAATGTTCACCTCTTTTAAACCACCAAAAAAAATTTCATTTTAAAAACATAAGGATATTTTTTGGCGGGATAAAAAATATTAGGATATTTTAAAATTGTTCAGGTAACCGAATGCGTTCTCAATTTTCCTTGGTTCCCTGGGCATGGTAGCACGGGTTATGTGTTTGCTCGACTATTTGCCTCAACGAGCGGTTAATAGGAACTCCATTCTAAGGTGTGCAGAAGAGGATGTCTAGCTTGTCACGACCATCTCTAAAAAAAAAAGAAGGCTAGGCACATCACCCGAGTGAGATGGTTCACACGTACTTCCTCTGTATTTATTTACTCTGCATATTAGATTTTACTGAAGTCAAACTTTATAAAGTTTAACCAGGTTTATAGAAAAAATATAAACATTTACAATAGCAAATCTATATGATGGAAAAATGTATTCAATAATGAATCTAATGGTATTGATTTGTTATTGTATATGTTAACATTTTTGTCTATAAACTTTGTCGAAGTTTACAAAGTTTAACTTTAATTAATGCTAATATGTAGAGTAAATAAAAACGGAGGGAGTAGCACAGCCTATCTTTTCCGACTGACACGGAAATGTTGCACGACCTTATGTGTGCCACAAAAGTTGCGTACACCGGGGCCCGTGAACGGTTGCCAGACGTGACAATAAATCTGAATTTTCTCTAGGAGACGTAAGTACTCCCTCTATTTTTATTTGGTCCATGTATTAGCTTTGGTAAAAGTCAAGCTTTATAAACTTTGACCAAGTTTATAAAAAAAATTATTGGTCAAACTTTATGAAATTTGACTTCAGTCAACTCTAATATGCAAAGTAATGGAAAAAGTCTAAACCAAACATTGAATTTATAGGCGAAATCTAAATCAAACCCTGAACTTGCAATCCCTGAAATCAGCACACCAAACTTTCTGATTCCGGTCTACTTTGAACCTTGGGAGGATTTAGCCGGTATACGCTGAATTGGGCCGGCCCATTGGTGCAGTCTCTCACGCTGGTCTGTTTTTCTTTGTTTGATTTTTTTCTTTGGTTTTTTCCTTCGTTATATTTTGTTTTTTCACTGATTTTTATTTCTTTGTTATACTTTTTGTTTGTTCTGTTCCTTTCTTGATTTTCTTCATACTGTTTTCTTCTTTGATTTTGTTTTGTTTCTTTACCGGTAACAGGTTTTGTTTTTTTACTCATTTCTAATTATTCTCAGTACCCAATGTAAATTTTTAGCGCAAATATTTGTTATACACTTTCAACATATTTTAGATAAATTATTTACATTTTCTAAATGCATGTTTTAAAAAATCGAATACATGGTAATATTTTTCCAAATACATGTTTTACATTTCTTAACGATAATAAACATTTTATTAAACTACACGAACATTTTCTACATTGTTAAACATTTTTAAAATTGTATACACTTTTTTCAAACACATGTCACGTATATTCTTATAAGGGTATGATACATTTTTTTTTACATCACGCAAACTTTTTTTACATTGCATACACTTCTTTCCAAATATGTCACAAGCATATTTTTTTTAACTCGTGAACATTCTTGAAATGTTACATTTTTTTGAATGGACGAAACATTTGTTTGAATCACGCGAATATTATTTACATTGTACATACTCTTTTTTTTTAAACACCACGTACATTTTTGAGTGGCTGGATTTGCTACTTGCGGCCAGTGGCGGAGCTACACTCTAAAACCTGATTCATATTTGGAGACTACTCCAGAATGGACTGGAGACTACTCCAGAATGGACTAGCGGTAGGAGATGAATTATTGCGGAGGAAAATAAAACCGGGAGTGTACTGTATTGCATGTAGCCGCGATGAGTCCATCGTTTTTGGCTGCGTCCATACTCGGTTCAGTTTTTGGCTGTGACATTTCTTTATGCATTTGTTCAGGTTTCAAATTTTTGAAAAATGTGACATAATTTTTGAAAATCCTAAAACATTTCATGGCATGTGAAAAACTATTGTAATTCTGAATAGTTTTTGACAAATGTGATTTTTTTAAATCACAGACAATTTTCTAAAAACTGTGAATAGAATTTCAAAATTCCAAACATTTTTTTAAAAACACAAAAGAAAATTGAAGTTTTGTCAAAATAGAAAACAGGAACATTTTTTAACTTCTGAACAATTTTAAAAATGCGCGGACATTTTTTAGACTTCACAAATTTTTGTTGTGGTATAGTGGGCCGGTCCAAATTCTCGTCCGTGAGAATAGCAGGTTATCCCGGTCGGGATTGTAGTATTCCTAGTGTGCCAAACAGGTCTATGCTTTAAAATAGACCGGGATTACAAGTTCAGAGTGCCAATTTTTGGATTCAAAATTCAGGGTTTGATTAAGCTTTCGTTTACAACTTCAAGGTTTGTTTAGGACTTTTTCCTAAATAAAAACGGGGGAGTACATATTAATCGGAGCAGCCGGCGGCCTCCTCGATTGACTGCGGGATGCATGCCATTACTCAAAAGTGTCGCATGCATATACGTTTTGTGGAAGACGAAACACCAAGAGCTAGCTTCAGCCTCTCCGTATTCCACACTGTCTGCCTCCCCGGTTCGTTCCCAACTCTCCATTAATACCTCGCTCGCACAGTAGAGCACAATACATACAAGTCCAGCATCGATCAAGCGGATGCACCCGATGGAGAAGACCCCCACAAACACCAATACCATCAACAAAACGGAGCTGCAACACGATCACAGCGGGAACTCGTCGGCCGCCCCAACGGTGATCGCCGTCGAGGTCGATCCGGATGCTCTCGGCTGCCCCACATGCCTTCAGCCCCTCGTACCTCCAGTGTTCCAGGTACATTATAACCTTTATCACGTGCTACAAGAGGATTCAACATCCTAGATCACTTCAGTTTTATGTCCTTTGAATCTGTCCCGCATGGTGCTTGCAGTGCGCGGCTGGACATCTGGTTTGTTCCACCTGCCATGGCAACCTCTCGGACAAGAACAAGTGTACCTCCTGTTTCATCAAAACGGGCTTCAGCCGTTGTTTCGTCCCCACGAGCTACAGCCGCTGCCACGGCGTCGACCGCATCCTGCAATCCGTCCGAGTCGCCTGCCCATACCGCTGCAGTGCAGTCAAGACGTTCTACCACGATAAGGAGGAGCATGAGAGGACCTGTCCCGGCAAAGCCGGCGCCGTGCGCAAGCGGGGACGGGTCCTGAAGATGGGCCCCTGCGGCGGCGGCGGCGGAGACGTCTGGGAGATGGACTTGCGGGGTGTTAACCGTATCGTTGTAAGACAATAAGTTTTGGGAACCAGCACAACCCTCTAGGGGTGGCTTATCTCATTATATATAATGGTTGTGTTACAATACGTACATAGGTACAGAAGTTATACATAGTCTAACACCCTCCCTCAATCTTAGCCACTTTCTAAAGAACTGAGAAGGGTAAGATTGTGCCTACAAGCCTCAAACTGTGGCAGTGGTAAAGGCTTAGTGAAGATATCTGCAAGTTGATTCTTAGACGAGATAAACTTGATCTGAAGTTGCTTCTGTGATACACGTTCCCGTACAAAGTGATAGTCAACTTCAATGTGTTTCGTTCGGGCATGAAATACTGGATTTGCAGAAAGGTATGTAGCACCGATGTTATCACACCAAAGAATAGGAGGCTGTGGTTGAGACAAACCCAACTCCTGAAGCAAAGACTGCACCCAAATAATCTCTGCAGTAGCATTAGCCACAGCCTTGTACTCAGCTTCAGTACTGCTACGTGACACAGTAGCCTGTTTCCGAGCACTCCAGGCGATCAAATTAGAGCCAAAGAATACTGCATAACCCTCCGTGGATCGCCTGTCATCTGGGCTACCAGCCCAATCTGCATCAGAGAAGGCCGAAAGGACCCGAGAGGAAGTTGGCCGAATATGCATACCAAAAGTCAGGGTGAACTGAACATAACGAAGAATGCGTTTAACAGCAGCCCAATGAGTATCTCTGGGAGCCTGAAGATACTGACAAACCCTGTTAACAGCATAAGAGATATCTGGCCTCGTGATCGTCAAGTACTGAAGTCCACCAACAATGCTTCTGTACTCTGTGGCATCCGCAGGAGACAAAAGCTCACCATCAACAGCTGTTATCTTGTCGGTAGACGACATGGGTGTGGTGGTCGGTTTGCACTTCAGCATGCCGGCTTTTTGTAACAACTCCAAGGAGTACTTCTTCTGCGTAAGGACAAGACCAGTAGCACGAGAAGTGACCTCAACTCCAAGAAAGTAGTGAAGCTTTCCAAGATCTTTGACCGCAAAATCAGCACCAAGAGAGCAGACAAGAGCATCAGCAGCATACTGAGAAGAGCTGACAAGGATAATATCATCGACATATACCAAAAGATACATAGTGACTTTTGGCTTTTGTAGAAGAAATAATGAAGTGTCAGCAGTGGACGGCACAAACCCATGAGCACGAAGGGCAGAGGCAAGGCGGGCATGCCAGGCACGAGGAGCTTGCTTCAAACCATATAGTGCTTTGGAAAAACGACAGATATAGTCAGGACGATCAGGATCAGAGAAACCAGGCGGCTGTTTCATATAAACCTCTTCCTCCAAAAATCCATGTAGAAAAGCATTCTGCACATCAAGTTGACGAAGGGACCAACCACGAGAAACAGCAATGGAGAGAAGAAGCCGAATAGTGGTAGGCTTGACGACAGGACTGAAGGTGTCCTCATAGTCAAGACCATGACGCTGCCGAAAACCGCGAGCAACAAGTCGCGCTTTGTAACGCTCAATAGATCCATCCGAATGCTTCTTCACTTTGAATACCCATTTTGAGTCAATAACATTTACCCGTGGTGGTGGAGGAACGAGAGTCCATGTCTTGTTACGAAGAAGAGCATGAAACTCCTGCTCCATAGCCTCTCGCCAATGTGGAATGCGTAGGGCAGCCTGATATGAGCGAGGCTCAGAAGATGGATCCGCAACAGTAGCAGCCAAACAAGCAGCCAACCAAGCAACCGTACCATCCGTACGTTCCTTAGGTTTGAAAATGCCACTGCGACTGCGTGTATGTGGTCGAGACACAGGAACCACCGAGGTCGACGGAGCAGCCTGCAACGGGCTGGAGGATAGCGACGTTGACGAGTCAGCCGGTGACGAGGAGCCAGGCACGGTAGCCTCGGACTCAGTCGGCGAAGAAGGCCGGCCCACCGGCGAAACCGGCAGAGCAGACGAAGCAGCTGGCGACTCCGGCATCCCAGACCGGGCTGATGGCGAGCTCGGCATAGTGGGCCGTGGCGCGGCCGGTGTCGCGGGCCGATCCGCTGATGAAGGCGACGTGAGGACCCGAGCCGCGGGCGAAGACGGCGTGACAGGCCGAGCCACGGGCGACTCGGCGGCCGCTGGCGAAAAAGGCCGAGCCGCTGGAGACTCGGCGATCACTGGCGTAGCAGACCGAGCAGTGGAGATGCTCGGCGCGACGGGCTCGTTGGGTGACCATGCATGGGCACGTGAATCGATGCCATGCAACAGAGGGCGATCGACATGCCCACCAGAAGACGACGATGATGATGGTGAATCCTCCAACAGCTCCAAACGAGCTCCACGTCCGGTTCCTGCACCATGGTTAGGTAACAGCAAAGGAGAGTATGCAACATCATCAAATTGGTCAGAAGCAACAGAGGATGAATGCAGGGATGGTGGTTCGACAGTGGACACAGGAAGGTTGGCAAAGGGAAAAACATGCTCATCAAACACGACGTCCCGAGATATATAGACACGATTAGTGGGAACATGAAGACATTTGTAACCTTTATGAAGAGAGCTATAGCCAAGAAAAACACACTTCTTAGAACGAAACTCAAGCTTGCGCTTGTTATATGGACGAAGATGCGGCCAGCAAGCACATCCAAATACCTTGAGAAAGGTATAATCAGGTTGTTCATTAAGGAGAACCTCAATGGGAGTCTTCATGTTTAAAACACGAGTAGGAGTACGATTGATGAGAAAGCATGCAGTGGTGAAAGCATCACTCCAAAACCGAAACGGAACAGATGCATGGGCCAAAAGAGTAAGACCAGCTTCAACAATATGACGATGCTTATGTTCGACTGAACCATTCTGCTGATGTGTATGTGGACATGCTAAACGATGAGCTATCCCAAGCGACTGAAAGAAGGAGTTGAGGTTGCGATACTCGCCCCCCCAGTCCGACTGGACATGAACAATTTTGTGCTTGAGAAGACGTTCAACATGTTTTTGAAACTGAACAAAAATATCAAACACATCAGATTTGCGTTTAATAAGGTAAAGCCAGGTAAAGCGACTATAAGCATCAACGAAACTGATATAGTAATTATGACCACTGACAGAAGTCTGAGCAGGACCCCATACATCTGAAAACACAAGTTCTAACGGATGTTTCACCTCACGACTGGACTCCGAAAAAGGAAGTTGATGACTCTTCCCCTGCTGACAAGCATCACACACTGCTACATCTTTATTACTAGACAAACTAGGAAGCTCATGGCGACGCAAAATATGACGGACAATAGGTGTGTCCGGGTGACCAAGACGAGCATGCCACTGTGACGGAGAGACCCGAACTCCACTGAAAACGCGAGCGACGCCAGGATGCTCCAGACGGTAGAGACCCTGGCACAACCGCCCACTAAGAAGAATGTCCCTCGTGCCCCAATCCTTAATAAAAAGATCAAAAGGATGAAATTCACAAAGCACATTATTATCACGTGTGAGTTTAGGAACTGAAAGAAGATTGCGGGTCACAGATGGAACGCGAAGAACATTGCGAAGCTGAAGACTCCTATTGGCATGTCTAGTGAGAAGAGATGATTGACCAATATGAGAGATGTGCATACCTGCTCCATTGGCGGTGTGGATCTTGTCGGAGCCATGATAGGGTTCACGAGTGTGAAGCTTCCCCATCTCGCTGGTCAGATGCTCTGTCGCCCCAGAGTCCATGTACCAGTGTGGATCGATGGAGTAGGACTGAGTGTGTCCCTGGTGCTTCTGCGGCGCGGGACGATCAGCCATGGCGACCTGACGGGCATTGTTGCGTGTATCTTTGCCGTCATTGCCAAGACCAAGGAAGCTTCGCTGGAAGCGCTTATGACACTTGGAGGCCCAGTGCCCATCGCGGCCACAAAGCTGACACACACGTGGACCGCCAGCCCCCGGTAAGGTCGCAGTAGGTGGGGGGGCCGAGGCGGGCGACGGTGGCAGCCCCAAGGGAGACCGGGGTGATGAAGAAGAGCGGTCACCCTTGGTGGCGACGTTGGCCGAGAGAGAGCCAGTGCCCCTGGTGCGGCGAGTCTCGACTCGTTGCTCAGTGAGAAGAAGCCGAGAGAAAACCTCGTGTGCCAACATGGGTGTCGAGTTACCCCGCTCGTTGATGATCTCGACTAAGGCATCATACTCCTCATCAAGACCATTGACAATAAACGAGTTGAACTCGGAGTCGGTGAGGGGCTGTCCAATGGAGGCCAATGTGTCGGCAAGGCCCTTGACCTTGTTGTAGAACTCAGTGGCCGTGGAGTCAAGCTTCTGACACTCTCCAAGCTGACAACGGAGTGCAGAGACACGAGCCTGGGACTGCGCTGCAAAGGTGTGCTCAAGGATGGTCCAGGCCTCATGAGACGTCTTCGCGAAGACAACAAGGCCGGCAACTGCCGGCGAGAGCGACCCCTGGATGGAGGAGAGGTTCGCCTGGTCCTGCCCCGTCCAGACGCGATGGGCCGGATTGTAGACCGGACCGTGCACGCTGTCTACCAGCGCGGGTGGGCAGGAAAGCGATCCGTCGACGTAGCCTAGCAGGTAGTGACTCCCCAAGAGCGGGAGAACCTGCGCACGCCAGAAGATGTAGTTGTCTGCGGAGAGCTTGATGGTGATGAGATGACCGAAGTGAAACGGCGGCGGCGAAGACGATCCCATCGAGGAGGCTGCCTGGGGTGCAAACACCATGGAGACAGCCGGAGGCACCGAAGCCGATGCGGGAGGAGGCGGGACCGCAGCCAGGGCGGGCGCCGCAAAGCTCGCGGCCGGTGCGGACGCCGCAAGGCCCGCGGCCGGGGCGGACGCCGCCAACCCCGCCAGCGGGGCGGTGTGATCCGCTCGCGGCAGGAGCGGCGGGACGACGCCTGCGGAATCCGCAGCGGACGGCGGCACCGCGGTGTGGACCACGAGGTCACGCCCGAGCGAGGGCGCCGGCGGCGTGGAGAAGACGGAGCCGATGCTCCTTGTCCCGATCGGAGCCGGAACGGAGACGGCGTCGAGCGGGAGGTTGAGCAGAGCCGCAAGAGAGGCTGAGAGGAAGCCCGCAGCAGTGGAACCGGTGGTGGCGGCGCTCGACATGGCGGCGGCGCGATCGGTGGCGCGGCGGCGGCGGTGAAGGCGGCGGCGGCTGCGGCGGCGGTGCGGGTATTAGGGTTTAGAAGCGGAAGCGATCGTAACCTAGCGTGATACCATGTAAGACAATAAGTTTTGGGAACCAGCACAATCCTTTAGGGGTGGCTTATCTCATTATATATAATAGTTGTGTTACAATACGTACATAGATACAGAAGTTATACATAGTCTAACAATCGAAGGTGGTTCTCTGGCACTCCGGCGCGGTCGACGCCATCTTGGTGTTATACGAGCGGGATGGCCGGGAGGAGCAGACCAAGCACTGGGAAAAGCTCGAAGGACATCGTTCAGAGGTACCTAATCCAAACATCTCTGATATAAATTCATACTGTACAATACTAATAGTATTCTGCTGCTTATATCGCTATCTTTTCGAATTATTTTACTCCCGAAAAAAATGATGTCTAAATTGATGTAAGATACTGGAGTAAAATATTGATAAAAATGTAATTTATACTGATTTGGAAATTTGGTGGTGCGGCGATGACGCTCTGTTGGTTTGTGTTTGGTATGTGCAGATCTGCCTGGAGCCGGGTGAATACCTCGTCGGCGTCAAAGGGAACCTGGGCAATTTCGGTGGTTGTTTCCTCTTGGGAACGCTTACTTTCATCAGCAACCTGCGCACCTTTGGGCCATATGGAACGAGGGAAGGTCCGCCATTCGACCTTCCAGCAGCTGGCGGCAAGATTGTTGGCTTCCATGGCCGCTCCGGGGGCCTCCTCGATGCTCTGGGCACTTACGTAAAGATGGACGACTAGCCCACACATTACTATCTAGGCCATTGGTCAATATTACCATTTGTACTGCATGAACATGTCAATGCCTACTGTACCTCGTGACCAAATGTATTACGCATGAGCAAATCCATATATTTTTGCATTCTGCATGTCGCGAGACATGTGCCTCTTGTGTGTGTGGGTGGTTTGGTCGCTTAGTTAAAATTTTGTAAACATACAGGGGCTAGAATTTGGCAGTATCATTTTTTTTGCGGGATAATACTTGTATTACTCAAAATCAAGAATTACAGTCACGACCGACAATGTCGAGACATTCAGTTGGTCCAGACCCAAGCCACACAACAGTTCGGCATATCCAGCTATAAACAAAATTAAGTAACGTATATGCACCAAATTAGTAATACAAAAAAAGGCACATCCAACAATTTTTTACTTTCTTTTGCAATATGTTAGAAATTTATGCGACAAATTTATTATTATGCTGCCAAAATTATTATTTTTGTTTCCTGCAGAAAAAATAAAAAATATTGTTGTTGTTGTGTGCATCCGATATATGCAGAGGTGAGGTGAGTGTAAATTGTGTTTGTATCCACTTGATCCTCCATTTTAAGTCAACAAAATCTACCCTTTGGCGGAAAAAATCCCTGGCTGCCAGATCTTTTTCTGAGACAAACTGCAAAGCTTTATTACTCTGTCACAATGCTTACAGGGATGAAATCAAGTTCATTGGATTGGCCTAACCAAGCATGGCGGCCAACCCCCAGAGATAGAGCGTGCTTTGCTAGTATGTGAGCCTCGATATTCGAGCTCCTAAATTCATGAATAATATTACAGGTTTCAAAAGATAGTCTATATTGCATGATCTCATGCACTATTGCACCGTAGCTCCCTTTGTATGATTGGTGAATATCGTCCACGGCCACCTTGCAATCAGATGCAACGTGAATCCTTCTGGCGTAAAGATCATCCGCAAGCGCCAGGCCTTCCCTGATGGCGAGTGTCTCCAAGATGCCGGGGTCTGACAGATGCGGGAAAACTACTGCCGATGCTCCCATAAACACACCGTCTCGGTCCCTACAGACCGCGGCCACAGCTCCGTTCACTCTTCTCACTGCTGCATCAATGTTGACTTTGGATAATCCCTCCGGAGGTGCTAGCCAATGATTTGGCCTCCGTTGAGGCGCCCCTCTACCGACCACTCCTGGCTGCTGTAGTGCCCGTAGCTCTGCTATATAAGATGTTACAAAATTGTGAATGACGAAAGGGGTTTGGAAGATATCTTCGTACATAGCCTTTCTTCGTGAGTTCCACAACGCCCAGAGGGTAACCACAAACGCAAGAAAGTCATCCTGGTTGAGAGCTTCGTGCATGATAAACAACCACTTCTTTAGATTTTCCTCTGTACATGTGCTCAACTTGTCTAAAACAGCATCCGATGACAGTGCCCAAGTGCTTCTAGATACGGAGCAATCCACAAAAGCATGGCGCCATGTATCCTCGGACCCGCATAAGCAACACGCCCTGGAGGTTGACATGTTCCTATGGTGGAGAAGTGCCGCTGTAGGAATCGAGTTTCTGGCTAGCCTCCACAAGAAAAACTTCAACTTGGAAGGGACCCTGATGCGCCATAAGTCAGTCCAGCCTTGCTCGGCTACGTGGGAGTCGGAGGAGCCGCCCTGCTCATACAGCCATGCTTCCCGGCCTAACTTCGTCCTTTGAATCATCCGGTATGCCGAACGGACGGAAAAGACACCCTTTCGCTCCTCGCCCCAAGCCCAGAAGTCGTCAGCTTGTCTCGTGCACAATGGAATCTGTAGGATGGCCTCAGCATCTAGCGGTATGAACACCGAGCGCACCAAATATTCATTCCAGGAAGATGATGTGTGGTCAATCAGTTCAGCCACCAACCTCGGTGGGTCATCAACTAAGCAAGCCATTGGCCTCCTTGCATGTGATCTCGATAACCAGTTGTCCTCCCAAATTTTGGTTGATGTCCCATCTCTGATTCTACGAACCAAGCCTTGCACCATTATGTCCCGTCCGTCGAGGACCGCTCGCCAAATTTGCGAGGGGTGAGATCCCAGGGATGCCCCAAAGATGTCTGAATCAGGATAGTAGATTGCTTTGAGGATCCTCGCGCTCAAAGACTGTGGATTTTGCAACATGCGCCAAGACTGCCGAGCTAGAAGCGCCAAGTTAAACATCTCCATGTCTCGAAAACCCAGACCACCTAGGTTCTTCGGTAAATTCATCACGTCCCAAGCCACCCAGCTAGGCTTCCGTTTTCCTTGTTTGCTCCCCCACCAGAACTGTCTGATCAACGAAGTAACACTGTCACATAGGCCCCGAGGAAGACGGAAGCATGCCATGGAGTATACTGGGATTGCTTGAGCAACCGCCTTGATCAGAACTTCTTTCCCCGCGGAGGATAAGAGTTTTTCCATCCACCCTCTCACCTTCTCCCAAACACGATCCTGCAAGTACTTGAAAGTCCCATTCTTCGAGTGGCCGACCTCCGTAGGCATGCCTAGATACCTGTCACTGAGTGACTCATTTTGCACATTCAGGATATTTTTCATATCATCTCTGACCTGCTGTGGACATCCCTTGCTGAAAAAGATTGATGATTTATCATGATTTATCCTCTGACCTGATGCCAAACAGTATGTATCCAGTAGGTTTGATACCGCTACTACCCCCTCGCTCCCTGACTTAAAAAGCAGCAGGCTGTCATCTGCGAAAAGAAGGTGGTTCACAGCTGGTGTTGTTGGTGCCACCTTTAATCCTACAATGTTTGATGACGAAGAACTGGTTTTCAGGAGGCACGAAAGGCCCTCCGCTGCAATTAAGAAAAGGTAAGGGGATATCGGAACTCCCTGCCTTATACCTCTGCTTGGTACAAATTGATCTAGCTTTTCTCCATTAAACATGACTGAAAAGGAAACAGACCAAACCATAGCCATGACAGTTTTTATCCAGGGCACTGCAAAGCCCGGCTTTCCCATCATTGCCTCCAAATAGTCCCACTCCAACCTGTCATATGCCTTCATCATATCCAGCTTAAGAGCACAATATCTGTTAGACTTTGCTTTGCTGCGCTTCATAAAATGACGACACTCATAAGCACTGATGATATTATCTGTTATAAGCCTGCCTGGGATGAACGCTGATTGTTCCTCAGATATGATCTCTGGCAGAATTTGCTTCAGCCTGTTTGTAATGACCTTGGATGCAATTTTGTATAGAACATTGCAAAGGCTAATAGGCCTGAATTGTGACAAGATAGTAGGATTTGTTACCTTAGGAATCAAAACGAGGATGGTGTCATTTATGCTCTCCGGTGTTTCTTCCCCTCTCACAATCCTCAAAACAGCAGCTGTCACCTCTTCCCCACATAACTCCCAGTGTCTCTGATAGAAGTGTGCCGGAAAGCCGTCGGGACCGGGCGCCTTAGTTGGGAACATCTGAAATAAGGCCGCCTTGACCTCATCGTTTGAGTAGGGGGCACACAGCATGTCGTTCATCTCTGCCGAGACTTTGGTTGGGACACAGTTTAAAACTCTCTCCATATCACTAACCCCCTCCGAAGTGTATAGAGTCTTATAGAAGTCATTTACCATGGCCTTTAACTCTTCTGGATCATCCGTGATAACCCCTAGCGAATTTTGCAACGCCTTGATCATGTTCTTCTTACGCCGGATACTTGCACGTAAGTGAAAAAACTTGGTGTTCCGGTCACCAGATGTAAGCCACTGTACCCGTGATCTCTGTCTCCACATTATTTTCTCCCTGTGATACAACTCCACAAGCTTCTCATTGATCTTCAATTCAACATTGGCGCGGTAACATTTATCTCTATACGGGCTTTATACCAGTAACATTGTCGGCAGGGGGCTCAGTTCTCTTTGAGGCTAGCTCTTCATCACATCTGAATTGCTTGAAGTAAACACTAATTTTTCAACTATTTATAGCAATGGTCTTTTTCCAAGGATAGGAATCTATGGACAACCCGATTAGTCATGAGTTGTGTATAATTGCCTGTCAATGGGTTATCCATCGGTCCGTCTTTTTAGTATTTAAATAACCAAATAAATAGTATTATTGATTACATGATGGCCGTAAAAAAATGGTACTGAATTTAAAAAGTTTGTGAATTCACAAAATGTTAATGTATTTGAATTAATGTTCACGTATCTTAAAAATTGTTTGCAAATTGGATAAATGTTCATATATTAAAAAATAGTTAACAAATTCAAAAATGTTTTCTGTGAATTCAAAAAAGTTTGTGAAATCTAAAAAATGTTTTTTTGAATTCTAAAAAAGTTCTTCTATTCAAAAAAATGGCCATGAATTAAAAAAGTTCATGAGCTACAAAAATGTTTGAAAATCCAAAAATGTTCATGCATACAAATAATGTTTATAGATTCAAAAAGTACTCTTGAATTCAAAAATGTTCTTGTTAAATTTAAAAAATATCTGCATATTCAAAACTTGCTAACATATTCAAAGAATTGTTCATAAATTCAAATATTGTTGAGGAATTAAAATAATCCGGAATACAAAAATGTTCATGAACTAAAAATATATAAAAAAAACTACCAACCAGAGACCTAGAAACAAAAGTGAGAAATAAATGAGAAACCGACCTACTGGAGGAAGAACCAAAAAAAATACCGATGAGAAACCTAGGAACAAAAGTGAGAAATAAATGAAAAACCGACCTACTAGAGGAAAAAACAAAAATAAAATATAAAAACAAAGAAAAACCTAGAAAATCAAGTGAGAAATAGATTTAGAAATCGGCCTACCAGACGGTGTGAGGCGGAGGCTAGCTCGCCAAAAATAAATTAGCACCCGGTGAGAGGGAGCTTGCTTACATCAGACAGAAGCTAGCGCGCCCGAAAAGAAAGCCTACTGAATTGGGCCGGTGTTGGTGCAATAATTTGCCTCCTTATGTTTTGGAGATTGTTTTCGTAAAAAGTGTGGGACTAAAATTTTGCACATGGAGTGATAAAGTCCGT